GATTCGTCAAACTGATTAACCGCATCAGCGTTTAAATAGCATTTCATCGAGCTCATTTGCCGCAAAATAGATTGGGCTTTGACTCGGTAGTAGTCGACGTCACTTGTGGATTCATTTTGAGCCCGTACCGAGTTTTCCGTATCAGACATTTTTCAATCACGAGAAAGAAAAAAATGAAATGAAAATGAAGTAAAGTAAAATGTCCGACCGCGTTAGAGGCACAAAACACCGTATGCCCTTTACCGCGAAAACGTGAAGGTCAACAAGCGTCGCCGAGATGCAACGGAACCTTTAACTTTGTTGTTGTTGTTCTTGCCGATAAATTGCCTGCCTAGCAACAGCGGATTATGTAACTGGCAAACGAATGTATGTATGGCTATATGTACATGTATATATGTAATATGCGCTATTAACAAAGATTAAATGCGATTCACTTTGTTAAGAATTATTTGCACAACACAAATTTGGTGCTTTTTCACAGCGCAAAATGTACAAAAAATCAAACGGCCGGCTGTGCACTTTTATATGCACATATGTATGTATGTTCGTCTGTTTGTGACCGAATGCACGATAACGACAGCGAAACAAAGCGTTTGTTGAAACTATATTAAACAATCGCGAAACCGAGTTGCAGACTCCGATTAAAACTGCTATCACGTCGGGGTCACCAAATGTTTGTGGGGAAGACAACAAATATGCCACCCTTATATTTATAATTAATAACGCACGAATAGGTTATATTAAAATGTATAGCGTTTATTCGGAGCGGCAGACGGACTGTGAATGTGTAAAAAGCTTGGCTCCAAGATCTTCATATAGACATATGCAGGCTTACAAAGTAGTTGCTGAATAGATAAGCGACAGCCTTATGGGTATAAGAAAGAAGGCGAAAGATAAGCAGAGAGCGATGCAGGTGCCGTCGTACACCTATGCGCGCATGACTAGGCGCTGGCGATCTGCTCCGAACAGAGTCCTTTTTATAATACATTAAACTAATTTATGCCAAAGTTTCAAGGAATTCGGGCAAGTAGATTTATTTTACCGCATTTTTAAATTAAACTAAAAAAATCTAGAAGTCCAAGATGCTGATGTAGCTGTTCGACTTTTTTTTCTTGGACGTTGATGCACTATGGTTAGTACAAACAAGTGGCCCTACGACACCAAGCAATGCTTGTTACAGCCGCCGCTGTGAGCCAGAGACAATTACTAAAAACGATAAGCCTGGTCTTTAATTTCTGTTCAATACCGAGCTCGCACGCTACTGCTCTGTTCAAAAATGATCTTTTAAAGCAGGCGTAAATTGTATTTTCCTCACTGTGGAAGTCACAGTGCTGCCGTTTATCTTGGGCGGCTTTTTCCCAGGCTAGCTCACTTTTCAGGGCCGTCGTTCCCCGAACTCTTACACACTTACAGAATTCAACGTCGGACCCAAACAAGTGTTAAACCGACGTTTAACAACACTATCCCCTGTTCAGTAACTTACTAATTCAAATTCAAACACTCAATTAACCATTTGCCTACAGATATTTGGCATGGTCTGGACCATCCTTCTGGACTGTAGGTCACATGCTCATCCTCCTGGGACAGGACTTTTGGGTTACGTCAATCATTTCCTTAAAAAAAATCACCAGGCCAACTTGGTTGACCTGGCTGTTATCTCTGCGGATCACACTGGGTCTGGTCAGGTTTGGGATGGAAAGACCATTAATTATGGTCTCACTCCTGGCACACACCACTTACCTAGGATATTTCCTGCACCAGCTTTCCAGCGGATATAACCCGCGTGCAACGCGAGACTTAAAAATCTTTATCCGAGCGCAGCAGCTGTAACGCCTTTGACCATGACTTTGACACTGATCAGCCTATGCCCATTTCGCTATCGTCAACCGGAATTCCGGGTCTTCGTTAATCGAATTTTCCGTGTCAACGGCCGGATAACATTCGGGTGACCAGACCACCCCAGCGTATATTTCCTTTGGTATTTAAGCAACCCTGCGTTCTACCAGAAATTGCAATCGATAACCGCATGACCACCATGTGCCCAGACTCGATATCGCTATCGATAGGCCACCCACAACAGACTCACAAATTTACATTCAGAGCAAGCTGAAAACAATGTTAGTGGAGACACCATCGACGAAAACCGCGAGCTAACCATAGGAGTGAGCGAGAGGCAAATAGGCGGCTAAAACTTTTCGTCGGGTCTGTTTTTCAGCGCGGTACTCAGATGAGCTAAGGAAATACCAGAAAAAATACCAGATTTCGCGAGTGAATTTTTGATGAACGCCGTTAGCCGCGGCCCAAAGAATAAGAAATTTCATCTTTGGCGGTATTCGTGCAGAAGCGGTAAGGAATTTAAAAATGAAAAATGGAAGAAAACACCAAAAACGGCTAAAGGAGGTCAGTGCAGATGAAAAAGGACGCCTAATCAAAGCTGTTGCCCATTATTGTGAGACTTGACCGACAGGAAGCAATACCACAACGAGGCGAATCCGCAGAATAGTTGAAGCGCTGGAGAAGATCCACTAGAGAATCCCAGTGGGAAGGAACATGGGACTTGACAGCTAAAGCGGATATGGAGGACGCGCCGGCTTCTATAGGAAGGAGAAAATAAGGTCGCCCGCTTAGGGACAGCTGGAGGAGCCATTACCACCCATTATTGGCCAGCCTATTGGGACTCGGAGCTGGACTACAGATGGCGCGAGAAAATTGGCAAGGCATCCGTGGGACGAGAAGGAAGCCTTAAACTTCTAATTTACATAAATAAAAACATTCGTTGAACATTTCATTTATTTTAATTTTGTGCACCACAAGACTCTTCTTTTTTAAATTGCTCCAATTGATTTGTTTTCGGTTTGGCAACAAGCCCAGCTACATGACAGTAGGACCATGCCACATGCATTGCGGGTAAACTTCGAAAACATCGGTCACACTACAAAGAATAAGATTTTTCGACTAGTGAAACTCTTAGCCGATCTGAGTACTAGGCTTAAGAGACAATGCAAGAAAGATATGTGGAACTCCGATCAGTGTGACCTTGCCGAAAAATCGAATAATACCATTTATCCATCAAAAATATACTATTACATGTTTCAGAATATACCATCAAAATACCATTAAAAATGTGAGGTAAAACGCCTTAATATTTTAAGTATATAAAAGATACTGTTTACATTTTTATATTTTATTTTATATTTCAAAATCAATATTTGGATTCATTTTTTTAAAATTATGGAAGTCCTTAAAAATAATTTGAGTGTCATTTATATTCTTACTTTTACTGTACACAAGTCTAGTTTATAAGTACTAAATTAACCAAGTATAAAACACATAATAAGAAGAGGATGAAAATCATTTAGTCTTTCAAGTTTCCTCTTTCTATTTGAAAGTTTAATTTAATTTGATTTTCCCTTTATGCTGCTGGGTCGCCGTGTTGCGTGTTGTTTTGTAGACACAGTATAATATATAAAATAGTTCCTTAAATAATTGATTAAATAATTATTAGCAATAGAATTATTATTTGGTTATGACCAACATCAATATCTAACAGATATATTGTTTTCTTGTTCTTTTAGCTGTCAAATATTTCTAGGTAATATGCAAATGACCCAAAATATTAAGCCATTTATTGTTTTCTGGGATGGTCTCCCACTTATCGCGAAATTTCTGTTTGCACATAGCTTGCAAAATGAAATTTTAAAGTGTGGCCAATCACAAAATATTATGGAATGCCATAAAATCGAGCGAATATACTGTTATATATTAGTATACCAAAAATATACAATTGAACAAAATCTGAACTAATTATATACCAAAAAGTATATAACTCCGATCCCAGTTCTTCTTCTTGGCGACTCGGCATTAAGGTTGGCTACGACGGTTATGTAATAGATCATTCGGCAGAAAAACGAGCCTTCTTAACTACAATTTGTTTAAGTGTCGACGTGTTGTTCAAAACGTTTTCGAGCAGTTGAACGCTCGTTCTTCAATTGTGCTGTTGTTCCTTTTTCTCGGTTGAGAGCTGTATATTTCCTCATCATTTGATTGCCTAAATCTAAATTAAATATTTGCTAGATATGTGTTACTTTAGAGATTTAATGACTTACAGACTCTTTCGACCATTAATTCTCTTAAGCAGGATAAAATGTACTTTATCCTGTCGTACATCCATGAAAATTATGAACAAAATTTTAGGTCACTTATGACATATTAAATAAAAAATGGACTAAAAGTTAATTTTTATGTCATGCACTCCCTGAAAATGTAATTCTATTGTTGTAATTTTTACCAATTCTATAGGTGATGAGTGGCGTAATATTTTGGGTTATCGTAAGCATTTTACCTAGAAATATTTGACAGCTAAAAGAGTTTTAATCTTAATATGTCTGTTAGATATTGATGTTGGTCATAACCAAATAATTATTGTATTGCTAATAATTATTTAATCAATTATTTAAGGAAATTTTTTATATATTATAAAGTGAATTGCAGAGGTCCACTCACAAAAAAAAAACGGTTTTCAAGTTCTCGATTTCCATATTTTCGATTTCAAAAGTGACCCAAAATCGATTTATACCCAAATTCTCAAAATCTAGATCGAAGTCTGTTTGGTTTGCAAATGGCTTTTGAGAATGTGTGTTCTCGCTATAGAGAATAAGTCTTCTGGGTTTCAACAAAAATCTTTCTCGGTTTCAACATCGTATTGATCTCGATTTCATGATGAATCGTTCTTGGATTTAAGCATAAATCGTTCTCGCTCTTAGTTTCCATTCTCCAATAAATATGCTAAATTTCTTTAAATTTCGCAATCCTCTAAGTACCTTAGGCACTCTTAAGAAACACCGACACCTAAAACAATAAATTATTATTATTATTTAACATACATGTATCTCTTACATTTGTATTGTTATATTTTGCTCGGGACAGCACCGACCAGCTCCGGAATTCCTCAGGGCCGAGCACCCCCAATGTCCCAACATTCCCCCAATATTGATATCGATAACTATCACCGTGTCACGTTACTAACAAGAACACACATCCTTAACCGCAAAAAGGTAAACAAACAAGTGGTATTAAATCCGTTGGTGCCCCGAGGGACGTCTAAGAGGCACCACCCATCATCAACGGCCGGAATCAACTCTATAGCTACTACATCTTCCCCATTACGATTAGTTTAGTAAGCGTACATTTAATGTATGTGATCTATAAATTTGTCCTAAGCCTTAATACTTCCTTGCCCGGCATTCGGTGCAATTTGACCACCGTTTTTTATTTTAGAGATCAAAGCAGCGAAGGACAACTACAGACGCCTGATAAGTTAACGCATGGCATAAGCAAATAATAAAAAGGTACAAATCGGGACCACAAACGGTAAATGCACATTAATTCACAAGCATTAGTTAGGTTAGGTTGTACCGTTTCCTCTTCTTCCTTATCCCTGCAGCTTCTGCAGAAATCATTTTGTGGGGCTTTTAGCCTGCCGGCATGTGTGCCTGTGGCCTGTTGCAGTATGCACTTATATTGAATATCTACTGTACCAAGAGTACTTGAATCAAACACACTGTAACACTTTGTTGTTGTTTACATAAACAAAGGCTCGGTCAAAAACCTAAAGTGGCCGGAACATGAGTCGATCGGCGGCGTACACAGAAAGTGAAAGTGTCAGCATTCTGTTGCACACGCCGGCCGCTCAGCCAAACTCAAGTACATGGACATACCTCCGCGCTCCAGACTAAGTGAGCATAGCTATATACTTAAGAATATATAGGCCGTCTCTCCGCTGCCGCTGTTGGCAGCGCCGCTATGAGACTTAGCTCCTAAGTAAAGTAAGTTTGTGAAGAAACTCTTTTGAGCTCAGAGCGGACAACGGCTGCTCTGCTCCAAATAAAACCAAATAAAAATCATCCAAAAGGATATCTAACTGAAGTGAAATTGGACTTATATTTTTTGGGCGTTATGAAAAATCCTACACATTTAAACTATTACATGGCGACCGTGTCACTGGTCCTGGAGGACATAGGAAGGAACAACTGCACGAATAGGAAATTGATGACGACTTCATTAGCAGCAGACAACGAAAAAAATAATATCGCAGTGAGTAGAGTGTGATGTGTGCTAAACGCAGTGGTGTGGTAAAAAGGTTAAAAGCCAGAAGGGCTGAATTACTGAAGCTACTAAATAGCGGAAGTATATTAAGTTGGAACAATTCGGTAAAATTACACGCCGAACTTGAAAATATAAAAATTTTACATAGTGAAAGAAAAAATCAAACCACAGCCACACACACATCTTACCCTGCAATTAAAAGTCTCGCTAAAGCTAATATCAAATTACCTTCGCCACAGAAAAAGGAAATACCCAAATTAACGAAGAAGTGCCCAAACGACTGCGAGGGACCACTGTACTCGCCCCATTGCGAGTACACCTGTGCAGCCAGCACCGGTGTCCCAACATAGAAGACCGTCGAGGAAGTTCAGCCTGTGCAGCCAGCACCGGCCACGTTTTGCCAACCAAGCGAGACCAAGGAGAAGTGAGCCGACAGCGCTTCATAGAGCGCATATTTTTTTTACCATGCACTGCGTTGCATAATTTTTTTCATTGCACTGCGATGCATATTTTTTTATATATTATATAAAACAAGAAAGGAAGTTAACTTCGGCAAGCCGAAGCTTGTATACCCTTGCAGCTATAATTATTAAATTTAAAAACACAAAAAATGATATTCCCAATAGTATAAGATAATATGTCAAAAAACACCGAGCCTTCTTAACTACAATTTGTTTAGGTGTCGACGTGTTGTTCAAAACGTTTTCGAGCAGTTGAACGCTCGTTCTTCAATTGTGCTGTTGTTCCTTTTTCTCGGTTGAGAGCTGTATATTTCCTCATCATTTGATTGCCTAAATCTAAATTAAATATTTGCTAGATATGTGTTACTTTAGAGATTTAATGACTTACAGACTCTTTCGACCATTAATTCTCTTAAGCAGGATAAAATGTACTTTATCCTGTCGTACATCCATGAAAATTATGAACAAAATTTTAGGTCACTTATGACATATTAAATAAAAAATGGACTAAAAGTTAATTTTTATGTCATGCACTCCCTGAAAATGTAATTCTATTGTTGTAATTTTTACCAATTCTATAGGTGATGAGTGGCGTAATATTTTGGGTTATCGTAAGCATTTTACCTAGAAATATTTGACAGCTAAAAGAGTTTTAATCTTAATATGTCTGTTAGATATTGATGTTGGTCATAACCAAATAATTATTGTATTGCTAATAATTATTTAATCAATTATTTAAGGAAATTTTTTATATATTATAAAGTGAATTGCAGAGGTCCACTCACAAAAAAAAAACGGTTTTCAAGTTCTCGATTTCCATATTTTCGATTTCAAAAGTGACCCAAAATCGATTTATACCCAAATTCTCAAAATCTAGATCGAAGTCTGTTTGGTTTGCAAATGGCTTTTGAAAATGTGTTTTCGATATAGAGAAGAAGTCTTCTGGGTTTCAACAAAAATCTTTCTCGGTTTCAACATCGTATTGATCTCGATTTCATGATGAATCGTTCTTGGATTTAAGCATAAATCGTTCTCGCTCTTAGTTTCCATTCTCCAATAAAAATGCTAAATTTCTTTAAATTTCGCAATCCTCTAAGTACCTTAGGCACTCTTAAGAAACACCGACACCTAAAACAATAAATTATTATTATTATTTAACATACATGTATCTCTTACATTTGTATTGTTATATTTTGCTCGGGACAGCACCGACCAGCTCCGGAATTCCTCAGGGCCGAGCACCCCCAATGTCCCAACATTCCCCCAATATTGATATCGATAACTATCACCGTGTCACGTTACTAACAAGAACACACATCCTTAACCGCAAAAAGGTAAACAAACAAGTGGTATTAAATCCGTTGGTGCCCCGAGGGACGTCTAAGAGGCACCACCCATCATCAACGGCCGGAATAAACTCTATAGCTACTACATCTTCCCCATTACGATTAGTTTAGTAAGCGTAAATTTAATGTATGTGATCTATAAATTTGTCCTAAGCCTTAATACTTCCTTGCCCGGCATTCGGTGCAATTTGACCACAGTTTTTTATTTTAGAGATCAAAGCAGCGAAGGACAACTACAGACGCCTGATAAGTTAACGCATGGCATAAGCAAATAATAAAAAGGTATGTCTGTGACCAGGTTTTGACTCAAGGAAAAAAAATGGGTACAAATCGGGACCACAAACGGTAAATGCACATTAATTCACAAGTATTAGTTAGGTTAGGTTGTACCGTTTCCTCTTCTTCCTTATCCCTGCAGCTTCTGCAGAAATCATTTTGTGGGGCTTTTAGCCTGCCGGCATGTGTGCCTGTGGCCTGTTGCAGTATGCACTTATATTGAATATCTACTGTACCAAGAGTACTTGAATCAAACACACTGTAACACTTTGTTGTTGTTTACATAAACAAAGGCTCGGTCAAAAACCTAAAGTGGCCGGAACATGAGTCGATCGGCGGCGTACACAGAAAGTGAAAGTGTCAGCATTCTGTTGCACACGCCGGCCGCTCAGCCAAACTCAAGTACATGGACATACCTCCGCGCTCCAGACTAAGTGAGCATAGCTATATACTTAAGAATATATAGGCCGTCTCTCCGCTGCCGCTGTTGGCAGCGCCGCTATGAGACTTATCTCCTAAGTAAAGTAAGTTTGTGAAGAAACTCTTTTGAGCTCAGAGCGGACAACGGCTGCTCTGCTCCAAATAAAACCAAATAAAAATCATCCAAAAGGATATCTAACTGAAGTGAAATTGGACTTATATTTTTTGGGCGTTATGAAAAATCCTACACATTTAAACTATTACATGGCGACCGTGTCACTGGTCCTGGAGGACCTAGGAAGGAACAACTGCACGAATAGGAAATTGATGACGACTTCATTAGCAGCAGACAACGAAAAAAATAATATCGCAGTGAGTAGAGTGTGATGTGTGCTAAACGCAGTGGTGTGGTAAAAAGGTTAAAAGCCAGAAGGGCTGAATTACTGAAGCTACTAAATAGCGGAAGTATATTAAGTTGGAACAATTCGGTAAAATTACACGCCGAACTTGAAAATATAAAAATTTTACATAGTGAAAGAAAAAATCAAACCACAGCCACACACACATCCTACCCTGCAATTAAAAGTCTCGCTAAAGCTAATATCAAATTACCTTCGCCACAGAAAAAGGAAATACCCAAATTAACGAAGAAGTGCCCAAACGACTGCGAGGGACCACTGTACTCGCCCCATTGCGAGTACACCTGTGCAGCCAGCACCGGTGTCCCAACATAGAAGACCGTCGAGGAAGTTCAGCCTGTGCAGCCAGCACCGGCCACGTTTTGCCAACCAAGCGAGACCAAGGAGAAGTGAGCCGACAGCGCTTCATAGAGCGCATATTTTTTTTACCATGCACTGCGTTGCATAATTTTTTTCATTGCACTGCGATGCATATTTTTTTATATATTATATAAAACAAGAAAGGAAGTTAACTTCGGCAAGCCGAAGCTTGTATACCCTTGCAGCTATAATTATTAAATTTAAAAACACAAAAAATGATATTCCCAATAGTATAAGATAATATGTCAAAAAACACCGAGCCTTCTTAACTACAATTTGTTTAGGTGTCGACGTGTTGTTCAAAACGTTTTCGAGCAGTTGAACGCTCGTTCTTCAATTGTGCTGTTGTTCCTTTTTCTCGGTTGAGAGCTGTATATTTCCTCATCATTTGATTGCCTAAATCTAAATTAAATATTTGCTAGATATGTGTTACTTTAGAGATTTAATGACTTACAGACTCTTTCGACCATTAATTCTCTTAAGCAGGATAAAATGTACTTTATCCTGTCGTACATCCATGAAAATTATGAACAAAATTTTAGGTCACTTATGACATATTAAATAAAAAATGGACTAAAAGTTAATTTTTATGTCATGCACTCCCTGAAAATGTAATTCTATTGTTGTAATTTTTACCAATTCTATAGGTGATGAGTGGCGTAATATTTTGGGTTATCGTAAGCATTTTACCTAGAAATATTTGACAGCTAAAAGAGTTTTAATCTTAATATGTCTGTTAGATATTGATGTTGGTCATAACCAAATAATTATTGTATTGCTAATAATTATTTAATCAATTATTTAAGGAAATTTTTTATATATTATAAAGTGAATTGCAGAGGTCCACTCACAAAAAAAAAAACGGTTTTCAAGTTCTCGATTTCCATATTTTCGATTTCAAAAGTGACCCAAAATCGATTTATACCCAAATTCTCAAAATCTAGATCGAAGTCTGTTTGGTTTGCAAATGGCTTTTGAAAATGTGTTTTCGATATAGAGAAGAAGTCTTCTGGGTTTCAACAAAAATCTTTCTCGGTTTCAACATCGTATTGATCTCGATTTCATGATGAATCGTTCTTGGATTTAAGCATAAATCGTTCTCGCTCTTAGTTTCCATTCTCCAATAAAAATGCTAAATTTCTTTAAATTTCGCAATCCTCTAAGTACCTTAGGCACTCTTAAGAAACACCGACACCTAAAACAATAAATTATTATTATTATTTAACATACATGTATCTCTTACATTTGTATTGTTATATTTTGCTCGGGACAGCACCGACCAGCTCCGGAATTCCTCAGAGCCGAGCACCCCCAATGTCCCAACATTCCCCCAATATTGATATCGATAACTATCACCGTGTCACGTTACTAACAAGAACACACATCCTTAACCGCAAAAAGGTAAACAAACAAGTGGTATTAAATCCGTTGGTGCCCCGAGGGACGTCTAAGAGGCACCACCCATCATCAACGGCCGGAATAAACTCTATAGCTACTACATCTTCCCCATTACGATTAGTTTAGTAAGCGTAAATTTAATGTATGTGATCTATAAATTTGTCCTAAGCCTTAATACTTCCTTGCCCGGCATTCGGTGCAATTTGACCACAGTTTTTTATTTTAGAGATCAAAGCAGCGAAGGACAACTACAGACGCCTGATAAGTTAACGCATGGCATAAGCAAATAATAAAAAGGTATGTCTGTGACCAGGTTTTGACTCAAGGAAAAAAAAGGGGTACAAATCGGGACCACAAACGGTAAATGCACATTAATTCACAAGTATTAGTTAGGTTAGGTTGTACCGTTTCCTCTTCTTCCTTATCCCTGCAGCTTCTGCAGAAATCATTTTGTGGGGCTTTTAGCCTGCCGGCATGTGTGCCTGTGGCCTGTTGCAGTATGCACTTATATTGAATATCTACTGTACCAAGAGTACTTGAATCAAACACACTGTAACACTTTGTTGTTGTTTACATAAACAAAGGCTCGGTCAAAAACCTAAAGTGGCCGGAACATGAGTCGATCGGCGGCGTACACAGAAAGTGAAAGTGTCAGCATTCTGTTGCACACGCCGGCCGCTCAGCCAAACTCAAGTACATGGACATACCTCCGCGCTCCAGACTAAGTGAGCATAGCTATATACTTAAGAATATATAGGCCGTCTCTCCGCTGCCGCTGTTGGCAGCGCCGCTATGAGACTTAGCTCCTAAGTAAAGTAAGTTTGTGAAGAAACTCTTTTGAGCTCAGAGCGGACAACGGCTGCTCTGCTCCAAATAAAACCAAATAAAAATCATCCAAAAGGATATCTAACTGAAGTGAAATTGGACTTATATTTTTTGGGCGTTATGAAAAATCCTACACATTTAAACTATTACATGGCGACCGTGTCACTGGTCCTGGAGGACCTAGGAAGGAACAACTGCACGAATAGGAAATTGATGACGACTTCATTAGCAGCAGACAACGAAAAAAATAATATCGCAGTGAGTAGAGTGTGATGTGTGCTAAACGCAGTGGTGTGGTAAAAAGGTTAAAAGCCAGAAGGGCTGAATTACTGAAGCTACTAAATAGCGGAAGTATATTAAGTTGGAACAATTCGGTAAAATTACACGCCGAACTTGAAAATATAAAAATTTTACATAGTGAAAGAAAAAATCAAACCACAGCCACACACACATCCTACCCTGCAATTAAAAGTCTCGCTAAAGCTAATATCAAATTACCTTCGCCACAGAAAAAGGAAATACCCAAATTAACGAAGAAGTGCCCAAACGACTGCGAGGGACCACTGTACTCGCCCCATTGCGAGTACACCTGTGCAGCCAGCACCGGTGTCCCAACATAGAAGACCGTCGAGGAAGTTCAGCCTGTGCAGCCAGCACCGGCCACGTTTTGCCAACCAAGCGAGACCAAGGAGAAGTGAGCCGACAGCGCTTCATAGAGCGCATATTTTTTTTACCATGCACTGCGTTGCATAATTTTTTTCATTGCACTGCGATGCATATTTTTTTATATATTATATAAAACAAGAAAGGAAGTTAACTTCGGCAAGCCGAAGCTTGTATACCCTTGCAGCTATAATTATTAAATTTAAAAACACAAAAAATGATATTCCCAATAGTATAAGATAATATGTCAAAAAGCACCGAAGCCATAATTTGTTTCATATTATTTTCCTACCAATTTTTCGATCGTTCCTATGGCAGCTATATGATATAGTCGTCCGATTTTGATAAAATTAAATTCGAAATTCAGAACTAATTAAAAAATGTTATTTCCAAGCGTAGGAGGTTATATGTTAAAAAACACCGAAGCTATAATTTGTTTCATATTATTATTGCACCAATTTTCCGATCGTTCCTATGGCAGTTATATGAAATAGACGTCCGATTTAATTCAAAATTCAAAACTAATTAAAAAATGTTATTTCCAAGCTAGGAGGTTATATGCTAAAAAACACCAAAGATATAATTTTTTTTTCTGATTATTTCTATGGGAGCTATAAGATATAGTTGTCCGATCCGGCTGGTTCCGACTTATATACTACCTGCAAAAGATATAAGACTTTTGAGAAAGTTTCAGCCCGATAGCTTTAAAACTGAGAGACTAGTTTGCGTAGAAACGGACGGACAGACGGACATGGCTAAAGAATATATATTCTTTATGGGGTCGGAAACGTCTCCTTCACTGCGTTGCAAACTTCTGAATATACCCTCTGCAAGGGTATACAAGTTAATGTAAAATTGAGCGACATTAAAGTTGCCCAATTAGCGTGTGGCCTGAAATCCATACAAAAACTAGGCAGGCTTTTCCATTGTTAAAAGGAAATTTTTCTCACAATTATACAGTGTTGAAAGCAGATTAAAAAAAAATCTACGGCCCAATAAGGCAAATTTTTAACTACATGAGCCAAACTAAATGGCAAATAAATTATAAATTAAATTAGTAGACGTGAAAGAAGTGGACTCCACAGCAAACGTCATAAACAAAATCGAGTCCAAAACTATGAATACAGATTTAACGAACATTTTATTATCAATCATTGTCTTTATTATGAGCGCATTTATTTTGTACAAGGCATATATGTTTCATAATAAATGTATATCAAAGAGAGCCTTAAATAAAAGCCAGGCTAATGATCTGGACAAAATATAAAATACATAAAGCGCCAACAATAATTATAACTAATATAAATATGTATGTCCATATATTGATATATTTAATATAGATGTTATTTCATCCAATAATCTTATCTTATGTACAATGAAAATAAATAGAATTACTCTTGATAGGGAACCCAACTTTCAGAACAGGGTATTATCAATAATAGAAAAAGGAGCTGAGCCTATACTAATCAATGAATTCGAGTATGAGTACATGAATAGGTTCAACTTAGGCTTTTCTCCCTTGATACATTGCTCAAGTACCCAGAAGGCGATAGTATTGAGCACCGTCCCGACCCTAAAAATTAGATCAGTTATTAACGATAACAAGTTACTTGGAAGACATCTTTCATTGATGGTTTCAAGAATCTAGAAAATATTCCATTAAATAATGGAATGGGACGAATTTTATAAAGAACTAAATAATATAAAAATTGATTTTGACAGATCTTATAAGTCACTATCAAGACCCCGGCCAGCACAGCAAAACACTGTGAACAAGCATGCCGAAATATTAGTAACCAGCTTCAATACAGCGCGTATACTAATACACGATCAGAGAGACAGGCTAAAAAAAGCACCAATGGGCTCAGGTATCAAAATATTTAAACAAAATACGGGATAACCTAATAGTTATAAAGCAAAGGTACGACTTAACAATGTCAGTACCAACTATCCTAAACACACCTTTGAAGATAGAAGCTAGAGAAGAGTCAGAATCATCAGATCCACCAGTACAAGCTGAGGCTGACGACCCTATCTCTACAGATCCCGATATAGAAGAAAAAGATATAAACAAATTCACTATTCCGGCAGTCCTTATTCAATCTGAATTATCAGACCAGGAATCGACCGACTCGGATTCTCACAACAGCATTGTAGAAATAAATCCAATCACAATGGCACAAACTAATATTGATTTTATTAAAGCTGAAAACATAACAAGTTTTATTGATGCATTAGAAATAATACAATCAATAAAAGGCGAGCACGAACAATTAGCAGCTTCCATAATAAAAACAAAGCTAAAAGGTGTCGCCAGAAATCTAATCGGAAATGAAACAACAATAACCGAAGTCATTTCCAGATTAAAGAAGGAAGAACGCTGTAGTCGAGTACCTCGACTATCAGATACCCGTTACTCAGCTAAATAGAGATATGCAAGCAGCAAAGCGAGATTAAAATGCGCCACCTACCGGCGGTATACAGAATTAAGCGTTATGGGCGTTAGAGTGGGCGTGGTAAATTTTTTTTTGGATCAATCGATAGGTATTGACGAGACCAATACATGTCAGTTAAAATTTTTATCTAGCATGAAAACTGTGGGCGTCACAGGTTTTCGCGGCTTGTGGGCGTTAAAGTGGGCGTGGCAAACTTTTTTTTTGGGTCAATCGATAGGTATTGATGAGAACAATACATTCAGTTAAAATTTGTATTCTAGCGTCAAAACTGTAGGAGCCACAGTTTTGGGCGGTTTGTGGGCGTTAGAGTGGGCGTGACACTCTGCTGAGTGTTGCGTAACTTGCGCTGCGTAAGAAGCTCAGGAATCTGCTCGCCAAATCTCAATAGCCTAGCTCTCATAGTTTCCGAGATCTCAGCGTTCATCTGGACGGACAGACGGACATGGCTAGATCGACTCGGCTAGTGATCCTGATCAAGAATATATATACTTTGTGGGGTCGGAAACGCTTCCTTCTGCCTGTTTCATACTTTCCGACGAATCTAGTATACCCTTTTACTCTACGAGTAACGGGTATAAAAACAACGTCAAAGGCGAAACTGTAGAAGTGTTGTCAGCAGAACTGATGAACCTACAGCAACGCAATAAAACTGCCAACCAGTACACACAAGAGGTTGAGCAGATGACAAAATCTTAAGAAGGTGCGTATATAACAGATGGCTTATCCCTAGAGTTAGCCAGAAGTCATTCCACTCGGATTCAGTCAAGGCAATGACTAAAAATTGCACAATCGATAAGGTAAAAACTATCATGCAAGCTGGTACCTTCAATACAATGAATGAGGTCATATCAAAATTTGTAAACAGTTGCACAGAAGCCACCGGACAGCCAATCACTTTCCTATATTACAAAAATTAACCGCAGCGCGGCGGAAAACGCAGACGAGGTAATGATCGAGGTAATAGTCGAGGTATTTATAACAATACCAGATATTATCAGAATAACGGATATAATCAAAACAATGGTTATAACAGAAATAACAATAACCAAAATAACAATTATTACAGAAACAACAACCGTGGTAGAAACAACAGCGGCGGAAACAGCCGTGGGGAAAACCATAACAACCACAATAACAATGTTAGAGTAGCACAAACAAATTCGGGAAACTCCCAACCATCTTTAGATACACGACAGTAAACAACATCAAAATTCACACTCCAAATCTCAGTCAAAATACATTTGTCACTTTCACGAACGTAGCAACAGGAAAAGAATTAGTTCTCTTACTAGACACAGGTGCGGAAATATCCTTATTGAAGGAAAATTCTGATAATTTTCAAAACATTCAAGATAATCACATCATAAACATACAGGGTATAAGTCAGGGAGTTATCAAATCAAAAGGCTTAACTTCTATTGAAATTCAAACTTCTAAGTACATAATTCCACATGATTTCCTTATCGTAAATATGCAATTCGCTATTTCATGTGATGAAATACTAGGAATCG